AATTACAGGCGCCCGCCACCACGCCTAGCTAATTTTTTGTATTTTTAGTAGAGACGGAGTTTCACTATGTTGCCTAGGCCTCCCAAATAGCTGGGATTATAGGCGCCCGCCACGCCTAGCTAATTTTTTGTATTTTTAGTAGAGATGGAGTTTCACTCTGTTGCCTAGGCTAGTCACTAACCCCTGGCTTCAAGCAATCATCCCACATCAGCCTCCCAAAGAGCTGGGCTAATAGGAATGAGCCACTGTATCTGGCCCTCTTCCTTTTTTTCAGATTCTCAAATAATACATGCTGAGGGTAGAAACTGTTGAAAAGCATAGAAAACTGCGAGAAAGCAAGCAAAAGCACTAATAATCCCACCCTTCAAAGACCGTCACATCCAGTTTGCCATTACTTCTTGATTGTTTGCACCTATACCACCTGCCTTACAAAGTTCCCACGAGAGTCCTGTCTTTTTTTTTTTTCTTCTTCTTGGTCTTGGCCTCTTTCAAGTTGGTAGGGAATGTAAAAGACACCCCCCTCCACCTACAGACTCATCAGGGACATTTCTGGACATATGTATATATACTGTGTTGTAACAAAAATGTCTTGTATATCTTAATTTTTTGCAGCCAAGATCAGGAGCTGTGCATTGCATTTAGTCGTTACAGCTCTTTAGTGTCTTATAACATTTTTTCAATATTAGCGCAAACCAAACCTGGCCAAGTGTAGAAATATGTTAGTAAATTTCCCCAATATGCACTTGTAAAATACGACCTGTGGGAGCTGCACATCGGCCCCCCCCACCTGCAGCTTCACATTGACTTCGCCGTGTCCCACATGTACAAGTTTTTCTTTCCTCTTTAGGTCAAGCTTTAGCCACCTCTGGAGTACTCGGTGACCTTAGAGCAAGGGTGTGCCCACTGGTCATTATCAGGGCTCAGCATGAATGCTTGAAGAGGCAGTTTATAAAGATGGCAAAACAAAGAAAAATAAATGAGAAAGCATTGATGGGGACCTGTTGAAGAGGGCCACCTGCCCAGCCTGCCTCCTGGCCACTCTTGTGCTCTCAGCTTTGTCTCTCTGACTTGTCTGCCCAGACTGAGGTTTCCCCAGGTGTGAAGCTAGGAATGGTGAGGTTTCTAGGTTAATACCTGGAGCAGAGTGTGCGGGCCAAGCAAATGCAGCATGTGGGTGTGCCACCAGCTTCACTGGACCCCAGAGTGTCATCTTCAGAGTTCCAGATGGTTCTCGTGAAAGAGAAGGATGAACACTTTGACTGCTGAGAAACAATTATGGGATGTTGTCCTTCCACCAGGGCCAAACCACAGGCTGGACATTGATGAGACGTGGAGCAAGGTTCTTCACAAGAGTGAGCAAGGCCCACTCTGACCCATCCGTGTTCTTTTACTGAAGCCACTTTTTTTTTTTTTTTCTGAGACAGAGTCTCACTCTGTTGCCCAGGCTGGAGTGCAGTGCTGCGATCTTGGCTGACTGTAGGCTCTGCCTCCCAGATTCAAGCGACTCTTCTGCCTCAGCCTCCAAGTAGCTGGGATTACAGGAGAGCGCCACCACGTCCAGCTAGTTTTTATATATTTAGTAGAGACCGGGTTTCACCATGTTCACCAGGCTGATCTCAAACTCCTTGACCTCAGGTGATCTGCCCACCTCGGCCTCCCAAAGTGCTGGGATTACAGGCGTGAGCCACCGTACCTAGCCTAAAGGCACACATTTTTATATCTCAGATACCTGGGGTTAAAATGTGACCTATATAAGACTGGCCAGAATAAAAGAGGAATGTGGAAGAAAATGCCAGGGGAAAACCAGGCATCTCTGTAGGCACAGCTTCCACGCCCCAGAACACCCTAAGCTGGGAGACACATCTTGGGCACCCCCGGCCGTCCCACCTTCCCCTTTGTGGGGAATATCCTCTCCCACACTTCAGCCGGCAGCTTAGGCTCAATGCTGCAAGCCTCAGCTCACCATCCCATTCCAGAAGCCTCCCAACCTTTAGACAAGGCCAGACCCCCTGCTTGTGCTCCTGGTACTTTTCTGGGCTTCCTCTCTCTCCATGCTGCCGTGATTATTTGTTTTAAATTCTGTCTCAAAAAAAAAAAGACAGGCACAGTGGCTATAATCCTAACACTTTGGGAGGCCAAGGTGGAAGGATCACATGAGTCAGGAGTCAAGACCAGCCTGAACAACATAGTGAGACCTTATCTCTACAACATGGACAGAATTACCCAGGCATGGTGGCTTGAGCCTGTAGTCCTCACTACTTGGGAGACTAAGATAGGAGGATGGCCTGAGCCCAGGAGGTCACTCCAGCCTGGGCTACAGAGGGAGACCCTTCTCAAAAAAACATACATAAATTCTGTCTCCTGCTAGACTGAACCCTCAGGGACAAGAGGCTATGTCTGCTTGGTTCACAGCTCCTTCTTAGTGCCAAGCAAAGGGTCCCGTGGTGAGTCGGTCCTTGGAGAAGACTTGGGGAGCAGCCTCAAGAACAATGCAGCTTTCTCCCCCATTCTGCTTGCCCCTTTGCTCCTCCTCTCCCTAAATGCTGACTGTGCGGTGGGCCTTGGCAGAGAGTGGCTGAGACCATCAATCAAATAGTTTAATGGATCCTTTTTGTTTTCCAAGCGGAATCTCTTCCGTGTACAGATGGGGCATGCGAGGCAGCAGGAAATGTCCTGTGTATGGCCACACAGCCAATCCGTAGCAGAGCTGAGGATCCAGTCCATAGTGATGCAGCTGCCATCGGGGCAGGCTTGTTCAGGGAGCAGTTTCGAGCGCGTGCACAGACCAGCACTGCCTTGGCCTCCAGGCCTCAGGAGCCAGGGCCAGTTTGACACTTGCAACACAAACCACTTCTCCCCGCAGGGCCCCAAAGTCACCAGATGCCCTGGAGTCGGCTCAGTCAGAGGAGGAAGTGGACGAACTGTCCCTCATCGACCACAGTGAAATTATGTCCAGGCTGACGCTCAAGCAGGAGGTGAGCACTTCCCAGGCTGGGATTTGGCAGCCTGGCCCCACAGAGGAGAGCACGTGGGGCTGAGGGGAATGTGATCCTGTCACAAGCAGAACAACCCCAGGAGGCTTTGAGACCAAGTCTCTCAATGCCCCTGCTGGGCCTCTGGGCTGTGGGCTCTGGAGGGGTAGGTTCCAGGGTAAGCTCCTTCTGATGCTTCTAGAAAGTGATCTTACACAGGTCAAGTTCTGTAGCCCCAGATGCCAGAACTGAGCGGGTGGGGATGGAACCCATGTAAATGCTCTGCAGACAGCCTGCCTACGGTCAGCCCTCACTAATTGGGAACTTTTTCTGTTGTTGAAAAAATAGCCCCACTGTAGCTTCAGCCTGGGAGACACCAGCTGGTGTCTCCCTGGGAGGCCAAGGCAGGGGAATGGCTTGAGTCCAGAAGTTCAAGACCAGCCTGGGCAACATAGCAAGACCCAGCTCTTAAAAAAAAAAAAAAAAAAAAAAGAATAGAAAATTCAGGCCTGAATGCTGTGGATTACCTGGTACTATGCCTTGCCTGTAGAACCTTGTTGGTGAAAACAGGGCCCAAACCTGTGACAGTGAAGAGGAAGCTGGACCGAGAGTGCCCTGCCTTTTCCTCCTGCATGCAGTTCTAGAAGTGCAAAGAACAGCTTCATAAAGCAGCCTTGGCCTGCACCAGGAAGCAACTGTTTTGGGGCTTTGATTTGATGACACATGGACAAAAGGGCAGATAGCACCTTGCACTCCCGGGCAAGGATACACTGGCTCTGGCCGTGGCAGGGAGCAGCCCGGGGAGGTGTCTGCGGCTTGGGCCGTCACACGCAGGCAGGGGAGGTGGTGGTGCTCACACGGCTGGGCCCTCTGCACAGAGAAGTATCATTTCATGATCCTCGCCATGAATTTCTTTCTTAAAATCAGGTCAGAGGCATTGCCCCAACTCCTAAGGGTAAACCCAAGACAATCTCGGACCTCTAGAGTTAGGAGATAAAATACCAAAACCTAAAAATAAAAATGTGGGTGAGTCTCGGAATATGTGCCGCAGCTGAAAGGGCTGGTTCTGTCCAGCATTACAGAGCAGGGAGCATTGAGGGGCTGGGGTGGAAACAGGCCTGAGGTGTTTGTCCTGGACCTCCTTTCCTCGCCCTGGCCACAGCTCTTTTTGGCTCTACACTGGGTGGCAGAAGCCTCTGTTTGCCCACATGGAAGCAAGACTTGCTTCCTAATAGGCAGGTGGGGTTTGGTGGAAGATGTGCAGTGTCAGATGTCGTTGAATATCTCTGTCTCTGTGACGCTGTGCTCTCCTCTAATGAAGGGCCTCATGGAAGAACCTGTGCAATGCAAGTAGCTTCTATTTCCACCTGGGGAAACGGATTTAGATTTAGGGCAGCTTGCTGCAGTTTTGGGGAACATGAGCTTGCTTAGAAATAGTCCTGCGGCTGCCTCGACAGGCACCCTGGGCAAGGCTGAGGACTGTCTTGCCTCCCTCCCCGACCCTATGGAGTCCTACCTCGCCTCTGACTTGTGGTGTGGTGAGCAGGGAAGGATGGATGGTGCTGTGTCCCCTGGCCCAAGTTGTGTGCTCAAAACAGTGACATGTCCTGGTGCCTTGGTGCCTTGGTGCCAGGGCAGCTTCCAGGCCGGGCAGCTTCCAGGCCATCCAGCTCCCAGACACGGTCCGATTTGTGCCTGTCACCAAGCACAAGGCGAGGTTGGAGGGTGCCCCTGGCATTGCAGCTCAACCACACTGCTCCTGGGCCAAGGAGCACAGGAGAGGGGACTTGGGGTCCCTGCAGTACCGCATCTTTGTCATCTCATTCCTGCCTGTTTCTTCCTAAACTGACTCTCTGAAGGCCATACTCTGCCTCATACCTTCCTGGGCTGTTTTCGTTACAGGGTGACGACGGGCCAGACGTCCGCGGGGGATCTGGGGACATCTTATTGGTCCATGCTACTGAGACTGACAGGAAAGGTAGGGCGCCTTCACTGCAGCGGCCTTTGTCTGTGTCAGTGAGCTCACTAGATGGCTGGTCTTGCTCTGGGTGCCACTCGGCCTCCCAGCACTATCTTGTCCCCTCCTGGCAGCCAGCCCTGAGTAGGGTCTGATCAGCAGTCCTGGTACGCCTGAGTCAGAGCAGGGAGAGCCCACCTTGGGAGACAAGTAGATCATGTTCAACCCCGGGCGTGCGTGGCGTCCATCCTCCACTGGACGTCTTGAATGATGGCATGTCACCCAGTACTACTAAACTTAAGATAACATGCAGGTACCTTTTGATTCCTTTCCTGACTGCTGAGTCACTCTGTTATTCCAGACTATTAGACCGGACTTCACTCACATACTCCACTAGGAAATTCTGGAAAGTTTGTTCTGTCCAGAACCTTCCATTCCACAGCAGCAGCATCACTTTCACAACACAGCTGCCCCATCCCACTGCGTGTTCAGTGTGGTGACTGAGAGGACTAGAAAAGCGGGGAACGTCCCCTAATCCCTAAAATGTCCTGCCAGGTGGACTCAGAGCTGCCATTCCCAGTCATGTTCTGGAAAGGAGGTGCCAGTGACCTGGTAGGGTGTGGCCACAGCACCCTTCGCTGCCTATCCTCGAAGGGCCAGCGCCACCAGCCGGCCAGCTTCTCCACATACTGCTTCTCTTTTTACATTAAAAAAAAATTATTTAGGGCCTGGCACGGTGGCTCACACCATAATCCCAGCACTTTGGGAGGCCAAGGCGGGCAGATCACGAGGTCAGGAGTTCAAGACTAGCCTGACCAACATGGTGAAATGCTGTCTCTACTAAAAATGCAAAAGTTAGCTGGGCATGGTGGCAGGTGCCTGTAATCCCAGCTACTCAGGAGGCTGAGGCAGGAGTCTCTTGAACCCAGGAGGCGGAGGTTGCAGTGAGCCGAGATGGCGGCATTGCACTCCAGCCTAGGTGACAGAGTGAGACTCCATCTCAAAAAAAAAAAAAAAAAAAAAAATTATTTAAAAGATGATGTAAGAGCAATGGTGAGGTAAATTGTGGAGGGAATGAAAACACCCCCACCTTGAAACCCAAGCCCAGCCTGTTTCATTTCTGTAAAGGACTCTGTCCCTGTGTTTCCACAACAGGTTTCCCAAAACATGTGACCCAGAATGATTCGAGGAATTTCTGAATTATGAAACTAGTACTAAAAATATGTTTACATTGCAAAAAATTAGAGAAAAAGAAGAGATGGCACTGTCCCACCCTCCCTTCACCGTCCCACCCTCCCTTCACTGTTCCTTCACCCTTGGTGTGTTCCAGCCAGGTCAGGGCCCAGACCTGGTGACACTGCATCCCAGCTGCAGCTGTGCGGTTGCAGGCTTGGAGGGCCCTGGGCTTCTCGGCCTGAGCTGACTCCACTTGGTGAAGGGGGGGTGCGGTGCCCCTTGTGTGGGTTATGTGTGGGAGTGTGAAACCTGCCCAACATGTCAGCGGTGCTGGGGGCGTGATCAGCACCATCCGGAGCACAGCCCTTGCTTGGCTCCTCTGCGGTGTATGCCCCTCTGCGCCTGACACGTGGGGCTCCATCCTCAGCAGGGCACAGGAGCGACGTGCATTTCTTTTTTGTCCAAATTGAAGGGCCGAAATGGGAGCTGGCTTCAGACCTCGGCTCCAAAGGGTGAGCTCCACTGTCCTGTTGGGTACAACCAGCCGCCTGTGCCCAAGGCCAGAGCAGGCCCTGAGACAGGACAGCCCAAGAGGCTTCTGGCTTTTTTTGGAGTCTCACTCTGTTGCCAGGCTGGAATGCAGTGGCACAATCTCAGCTCACTGCATCCTCCACCTCTTGGATTCAAGTAATTCTCCTGCGTCAGCTTCCCGAGTATCTGGGACTACAGGCATGCGCCACCATGCCCAGCTAATTTTTTGTACTTTTAGTAGAGACGGTGTTTCACCATGTTGGTTAGGATGGTCTCGATCTCTTGACCTTGTGATCCTCCCGCCTCGGCCTCTCAAAGTGCTGGGATTACAGGCCTGAGCCACCATGCCTGGCCGGCTTCTGGCCTTTGCTGGCTGGACCTGCTGAGAGGAGGCTCTGTGATGGCAGGTTTGCGTGATTTTATTAGCAGAAGGGTTGGAGGCTGCACAGAATCAAGGTTGTACCTGGGAAGTATTATTGAGGAGAAGCCATGGCTCCACTGGGAGGGGTGAGCCACCTTGTGGCTGGTAACAAAGCTCCTTGGGTGGGTGCTTCCTACAAGCCAGAGACTGCACAAGCAGCACAAGTGGCTGGGAGCCCCGTGGCTCAGGCCTGTGGAGCCCAGCCTGCCGAGCAGGGCTTAGCAGGGAGAGGCCGTGTGGGGGTGCTTTGTGGTCGCACAGCTCTGCTCTCAGGTGTCAGGACCTGCATGGAAGAAGGTCAGGTCAGCCTTGACGTCAGGCCTCAGCTTAGATCATGTCTCTGCCTTGGCAGCTATGTGCCAGGCCTGTCACTTAGCCCCGGAGCTTCTGATTCCTTGGGAGGAAAATGAGGGACAATTTTGGGGCTGACTTTTAGGGCTGTCACAGAGACCAGGTAAGCCAGGGAACACAAAGTGCTCAGGGCTGTATCGAGAGTCGTGTGAACACTAGAGGGGTGGCACTGACTGCCCTTCCCAGAAACCATGCTCTGACCCATCTGCCATAACCCAGGGCACAGCAGATGGGGGAGGGCTCTGGAATTGGGCAGATGTTGGTACAGACCCAGCCACACTGCATGCGGGCTGGGCCACACTTGGCCTCGTGCCTGGGCGCCTCCTCTCTCGGTGGGGTAACAGTCCTTTCTGTCTTCATGGGATTGCTCTGGGCATTGAAGGATGTGGCATGTGTTCAGGGCGTGACCTAGTGCTCACCAGTGAGTCCCACGATGCACCCACAAAGGCCAGTCAACTTGGACCCTTTCTTCCAGAGGCAGGTGTGGGTCTGTGCTGGTCCCATCTCTGCTTCCTTGCCCAGACACTCTTTGAACAAAAATCCAAGCTTGACAGTTAACTGGGTGGGTTTAGGAGCCCAGGAATGAGCCTGAGCATGGTGCAGGTGGGCCCTGCTGTGATTCCCAGCCCTGAGCCTCTCACTGGCCCAGGCTATACCTCTTCAGCCTATCCTTAGGACTCAAAACGTGGAACTTCCCCAGATTTTAGTGATTGGACACTACCGTTTAAAAGTCTGGCCAGGTGCAGCAGCTCACACTGATAATCCCGACACTTAAGGAGGCTGAGTGGGTGAATCACTTGAGGCCAGGAGTTTGAGACCAGCTTGGCCAACATGGTGAAGCCCCGTCTCTACTAAAAATACAAAAATTAGCCAGGTGTGGTGGTGCATGCCTGTAGTCCCAGCTACTCGGGAGGCTGAGGCAGGAAAATCGCTTGAACCCGGGAGGTGGAGGTTGCAGTGAACCAAGATCTCACCACTGTATTCCAGCCTGGGCAATAGAGTGAGACCCTATCTCAAAAAAAAATTTTTTTTTTTGTTTTGTTTTTGTTTTGTTTTTTTTTTTTTTGAGACAGAGTTTCACTCTTGTTACCCAGGCTGGAGTGCAATGGTGCGATCTCGGCTCACCGCAACCTCCACCTCCTAGGTTCAGGCAATTCTCCTGCCTCAGCCTCCTGAGTAGCTGGGATTACAGGCACGCGCCACCATGCCCAGCTAATTTTTTGTATTTTTAGTAGAGACAGGGTTTCACCATGTTGACCAGGTTGGTCTCGATCTCTTGACCTCGTGATCCACCCGCCTCGGCCTCCCAAAGTGCTGGGATTACAGGCTTGAGCCACCGCGCCCAGCCTAAAAAAAAATTTTTTTTAAGTACTGCCTAGGATTTTGTTTCAGGATCCTGCTGACAAGTTTGAACAGATGGATTTTCTTTGTGCCCGTGATGGCTAAGACCCTCCGAAGCCTCAAGCCTTAGGACAGGCATTGCCTCTCAGAGTCTAATCCAGGGGTGGCTTCTACCTGGAACAGGCATGCCGCCAGGTTTTGATGTCTAAGGCAGGCATCACTTATCAGCCTAAGTGCCCTTTTCCACTGGGCTCAGAGTTGGCCTCAGCTCCCACAGCACAGCTCCCCAGGTAGCACATGGGTAGATAGTGCCCATGAGATAAAACCCATTCCTGTTTCCCCTCTCTGCTCTGCCATTCTGCTGTGAGAGATGGACAGAGAGAACATGTGACTTCTCTGGGACATGCAGGCAGAGGCACCAGAGTGAGTTCCCAGGACCTCAGCCCCCTCACCCGTCGCACTCCCTGTGCCGCCGCCTCTGCCTCTCTCAGAGCAAGGACTCAAATCCAGCCCGGCTCCCACCCCCAGCATTCTGCGCCCTGATGAGCAGCTTGCGTTCCTTTTCCCTCCAGATTTGGTGTTGTACTGCGAGGCCTTCCTGACCACCTACAGGACCTTCATCTCCCCAGAGGAGCTCATCAAGAAGCTGCAGTACAGATATCCTTTCCTGTTGACCCACAGCCCCTGCGCCACCAGCCTTTAGGAGAGAGAGGGGCCCTCTTGCCCCTTGGCCCTCATGGGGGAAGCCGAGCAGCATGTTGGGTGGCAGCATGATTGAGGTAGGGACAGGAGCCCCATGCACCAAGGTTCCCACCCCTACCCTCCTGCATTCCAGCTTTGAGCTCAGGCAAGTTCTTCATCTCTAAAAGGGCTGAGTAAAATGATGTGAAAAGGCTGGAACGTAGTTGTGGTCTTTGGATGATTCTAAAAAAGCATTAGGAAGAACAGACATGCCCCAGAATGAGAGGGAGTGAGTGTGCCAGTCCTGCAGAAACCTCCATGGTCCGAGCCTGCAGCTTCTCAGAGCTGAGCTCCAGGGCATTGGGCACAATGGGTTACCAAGACTCAAATAGACAGTTCAGGGCTCAGCACAGCCCCTCCCCCGCAGCAGACCCTGCAGCTGCCACATCCACAACTGGAATGGGTTCCTGTCCCCAGACCTGCCCCATAGGCCCAGCCTCAGTAAATGTCACCCTCTACAGTAATGACTGAGGAGGACCCCAGGGACTTGGAAGGACCCACTTGTAGGGCCCGTTGCCTCTTCAGGTCTGAACCTGCCCGCTGACCTGCAGCTGCTACTCCTGGAGGGCAGCCTGGATCGGCCGCTCCTCGGCCACCTCTTAGCACATGGCCCACGGTTGCCATCTACTGGGCAACCGCCACCACCTGGGGCAGGAAGTCCGAGTCCTCCAGCGCCCCCGCCCCTTCTCGCATGCCTGGAGCCTTCACTGCTTCTCCACTCAGGGTCTCCTGCAGACCTCTTGGCCTCCTGGCCTCCCCTTGTGGTGACTTTAGAACCCCTGATCTATCAAGATGGACATGGACATCTTCCATTGGCGGAACTTTGGGTCCCTGGCAGGGTCTGTCACTCAGAGTGCCTGATCACAGGCCTGACTCAGTGAATAGCTGTCACTCACATGTGTCAAGGATTTGCTGGTCAGGTGCTTTCACCTAGCTCTGTAACCATTTTGTAATACTTGTGTGTGTGTGTGTGTGTCTGTGTGTGTGTGTGTGTGTGTGTGTGTGTAAAATTGCCATATTATACATGGGGCTACTGCTGTATAACTTCCTATTGTGTAATTGAGGAAACTGAGGCTCAGATACGGGAAGGATCTGACCCAAGTGACTGCTTGATGGGAGAGTGGCCATACACCACTTGCCCCCCTGCTGCCAGTACTCAGGCTCTCAGCCTCTGCCCGGCTCAGCCATCATGGAAATGTTGCCGCATCAAAGTCTGGGTGCGGCTGACTGGTGAACCTCCCGTGGTGTGAGCCAAGCCACTGTCCCTGGTACGTTGTTCTGTCCTGAACCCCATGACATGGAAGGTTGTGGATCGCTAGAGAGTGAGGAGGAGAGTGTCGGAGAGGTCTGGAGAGTCACTGGTGAGCTC